CCACCTATTTCCTTTCTTCTTACAGGGACAAAATGGCTAACAGAAGCTTCATTCCCAACCCGTGAGTAACTGAAAACTCTTTCAAGAACGCTGCATTTTCATAAATTTTAATTTAATTTAATGGCAGCTGCTCCCAGAATTTTGGCCAGATGAACACCTGGTCAAAAAATCCAAAAGTTCTACGAATGCCTGATTGTTTCTGCATCAATTTGCTAGTAAGAAAGTGTATTTATTCTCTTATCAGACATTCTTCTTCCTGATGCACATATTGTAACAAAGGGAAGAGATACAAGACCTTCTAGCCTTTTCTTCTGCTAGTGCCAGGATTGTTGGGTTATGCGTAGGAAGCTGCCAGAGAGAACAAGGATGTTGTGATTGCAGATAAGACCATGACTAAGAAGACCTCCCTCTGATTTAAATGCTTTGGGATGACTTTGTATTAGGAACACATGGTCCAGCAATATGCTTCTTCTAATCAGCTGGCAAGACACTGTAGTGTCTTATACTCTTCAAAAGGAAAAGATAGACTGAACAGCTTCAACCATCCTGGGCAGTTACAGTAAATGAAATTAACATTGAAGCCATTTATTGCTTTCATCTGTGGGGGGAACTATGGAATAGAGCAATCCCCCATACATATCACAAGGCACTTGTGCAGGATTCTAAAAGGGGTACCCCTGAAGACAACTTGGAAGCTTCAATTAGTTCAGGATCTGGCTACTAAAGTTCAGGTGGGTTCAGCTAGATGGAGTCATAATTCACCAAGTCTTAATGAATTAACATTAGATGCTTATTTATTTCCAAGCACTATTCAAGATACTGGTGCTCAGATTAAAGCTCTCAACAGTTAAGGACTCAAACATCAGAAGGAGCACCTTCTTCTAAATTATTCTACCTGTATATTTAGACCATCAGCTAAGGCATTTCCCAAGTACAATTAGCTGGTGCTATCTCTTCAGCCTATAAAAGTGAGATAACCCAGACCATGGTATCCTCTCTGGAAGGATGTTTTAACTGGTGAAAATGACACAACCTGTTATCAGATTTACCCAAGCATTTGGACCCGGTTCTATTGTTACTAGAGGGACATGGTGGCAGTGCAGGTTAAACTACAGAAGCCCCTGTGCTGTAGGGTCAGAAGACCAGCAGTCGTAAGATCGAATCCAAGCGACAGAGTGAACTCCCATTGCTTGTCCCAGCTCCTGCCAACATAGCAGTTCGAAAGCATGTAAATGCGAGTAGATAAATAGGGACCACCTCAGTGAGAAGGTAACAGCGTTCTGTGTCTAGTCACACTGGCCACGTGCCACAGAAATTGTCTTCGGACAAACGCTGGCTCTACGGGTTGGAGATGGGGATGAGCACCGTGCCCTAGAGTCGGACACAACTTGATCTTTACCTTTACCTTATTGTCACTGACCGCAGTTCTATGCTTTTGCTGCCTCCAGATTCCGTGTTATATAAAGGAGGTTGGCATGTTGATTTCAGAGTATTATACTTTTTAATCATTGATTACTACTCTGGAATCATTTAGGATAAACGGTGATCGAAAAAGGACTAAAATCCAATAAAGATGAGGCATTCCCCATCGCTGCCTCATGGAAAAAGCTTCAAGAACATAGGCTGAGAAAGCTTAAGGACAGAAAGATCAGTTTTGACTGCTGAGTCGTTCCAGAAGAACATTTCAGCAATCCATTCATAACAGATTCTGTACTGGAAAAGGAAGAATCGGAGCGGATCTCCTGAAAATTCCTCCTGCTGCTTCTAGTGACTTATTAGCCTTGTATGTGCACACAGCAGTTACGTATGTGGACAGCTAGTTCTCAGGTCTCGTCGTCAAAGCAAAAAAAAGAGAGAGAGAGAGAGAGAAAAAAAAAAAAACACAAATCTGCAGATTTCAGCCCTTCTCTCCATATGGTACCTCATCACCATGGTAACTGAGCACCTCATAAACGCTAATGAATTTACTCCCACTGCAACATGGACATAGGAAAGGATTATGATACATTCTCTCGGGCATCTTAGGTGGCTTGCAAGGATTGATTGCACCTCCTGTAGCTGCAAACAAATACCTGGTCTCCCCCCCCCCAGAGGATAAGTGGAAGGTTAATGATGCTTATGGCACTCTTCCACAGAAGAAGGGCTGTGCCACTGCTAGACACAGATATCAAAACAGGAGAAGCGTTTTAGAATTATGGTGCTCCATCTAACTGGGGAGGAGATCACTTTGGGCAGATGCTGAAACGGGAAGAAGGGACAGGGCAAATGGCACTGTCCCATTTTCATCCAGGCCTTAAAGAGAAATAATGTGATTCTAAAGCACAGCAATAGTGGGTGGAGTGTCTACCTCTCTGGAGTACCCCTTTCTCTACTAGTGTCTGAGAAGAAAGATGAAAGTGGGTTTTACAAGGAAACAAAGACTGAAAGCTCAGTTCATCTACTAGCATGTAAATCTGCCTTTCTTCTCCAAAGCTGGCTATCCACCAGATACCAATGGATTTCCCTCTCAGCACTCTTCCCTCTTTTTGCTTCCATCCACTCATCCAGTAGCCTTCTTAACTTTGAACCCTAACTCTTCATTCATTCATATTCCATGTACTGACTTTGCTATGTAATGGGAGTGAACTCAGAACTTTTATTTATTTATTTATTTATTTATTTATTTATTTATTTATTTATTTATTTATTTAATTAATTAATTAATTAAACTTCTATCCCTCCCATCTAGACTGTGTCTACTCTGGGTGGCTTACAACAAAATAGAATAAAGAACAATTTAAAAATATCAACAACAATTTCACAGCAATAAGCATATCATTGGAAAAGTTTGACTTTTTTGGATCCTAACTCCCAGAATCCCCTGGCCACCATGGCCACTGGGGATTCTGGATGATCTAATCCATAGACACCATTTTTCCAGGCTCTAATCCTGTGAAGGAAAGCAAGCCGTCAAAGACGAACTACAGAAAGAAGTCCAAAGTGAGCCAAATAGAAAGGTTTCTTTCTCAAGTGGTAGTAATGCTTCAGCAGTAAGCAGAAGCAACACACACATTTGGGAGAGAGGAGATATCTCTCCCCTTTCTCCATCATGATTTTGCCTAGGATGCAGGAAAGGAAAGGGAAATATTCTTTACCATGGGTTAAAATTTCAGCTGTATAAGAGCAGAGCTTATGAAACGTAACTTTTCTGGACTACAAATCCGAGATTCTCCCAGCTGGCATGGCTACTATGCAGGCTCAAGGAAGAATTTTGTGAACCGCATGTCAAAAGCTCTTTAAAAGAGTTCTAGGGTTGTAACATTTGCCACGTATTCCAAACTCAGAAATATATTGCTTGGCGATATTATTGATGTGATATAACCTACAGAAGTGGGATGCAGCCAGTTACAGTGGTGCCTCGCTTGATGAGAATAATCCGTTCCAGCAAAATCCTCGTCAAGCGAAATAAAAAAGCCCTTTGAAATGCATTGAAAACCGGTTCAGTGCGTTCCAATGGGCGAAATACCTCAGCGTCCAGCGAAGATCCTCCATAGGGCGGCCATTTTCCGGTGCCTGTGCAGCGAAAAATCCGTCCTAAAGCACAGCGGGGAGCCATTTTACACAGCAGGCAGCTGTTTTGAAACACGACAATCAGCTGTTTTGATCGTCATAATGCGAAGAATCGGTTCCTGAAGCAGGGAACCGATCGTCGGGAAGCGAAAATTGCCCTTTGAAACAGCGTTTTGCGATCACAAAAGTGATCGCAAAAACCTCATAGTCAAGCGGATTCGTCATTTAACAAAGTAATCGTTAAGCGAGGCACCACTGTATACAGACAGGCAAAAATAGGGATGTCAATTTTGTAGCCATGGATGTTCTTGTAGTTCTTGGAAGTAAAAGTGAGGAATGAAATTATTCTTTTATCCTTGCAGTAAGATTCCTCTATGCAAGATATATTTTCCCTTGGAAAAAACTCATAGATAATTATGCAGAATTTCTCAGAATTTTTGTGGTCTTCCCCCGGCCCCCAGGAGGGAGAATGCCAAGGAAAGGAAAGCAAGCTGTCAAAATTGTACCACAGAGAGCAGTCCTAAGTGTGAGGTGGTAGGGATACCAAATTCCACAGGTTTGTTATAATTCCTGTGCAGGATCTCATCTGTCCTGCACAGGATCCCCCTGGTAAGGGCAGCAGAAACAGCCAAGGAGCACAGGAATCATAAACACAGAATGGCATCTTTCTAGCAAGCGCAGAATTCACCCGAAAAGAGCAGAAGCACTAAGAAGGAAAATTGCAATTCTGGCAGAATGAATACCATCTTTCCTGCACAGGATTCTATGAAAGCACTCAAGAATCAAAGCACTGTGCATGAGTATTATAATTCCCACATGGTCTCTTTTCTGCACAGGATTCACTGAAAAAGACATTAAATTATGCAGAATACGGCAATTTCCTGAGCAGAAAAATGAGTTTTAAAAAGGGGTAAAGGTCAGAGTGACGCTAGGATCTCTCTCTTTTTTGCAGGAAGCTGAGAAATCTCAATAATGCATGGAAAATTAAGTCTTGAAAAATCAGTGAGAACAAGAAATTTTGCAAGTACTCATCGCTTTCCAAAATAAGATGATATGCCTGACTCTTCTGCACAGCAAAGCTCAACAGATAACCTTGCTTCTTGTCCAGGAATAGCACAGGCTGGCCGCACACATTTGTTGAAGGCAATACATGCATGGTTTATAATAGAGATGTCCAATTGTTTTTGAACTGCGACTCCCATGAATTCTCATTGTTTGCTACGACTGTTGGTAGTTGTAGGTCAAGAAATATCTGGAGGGTTGGCCCAGTTCTGGTTTTTAACATAAACATGGTAGTATGTAGCAATGACTGCAAATTACTCACCAACTTGAGAAGGCTGGCTTCTGTTTGAAACAGCTATGACTGCCCATCAGTGCAATGCTAACCAGCATCTAAATGGAGTTAGCAGAAGTCCTAAAAGCTTCAGCTTAAAAGCCAATATTTTACTTACCGCCTCCACTTCTGCTGGGTCATACCAGACATTAATGTACGGATGCTGTAAGGCTTCATCCACGGATATCCTCTTGGCTGGATCAATCACTAGCATCTTTGACAAAAGGTCCCTGGCTTGGCTAGCTGGAGCAATGAAATCAAAACAGAAATTGTGTCAGAATGGAACAGAATGGTCACACAGGGAAAGAATGGCACCATAAGGCACTGATTATAATGCCAGCCTCAAAGTACTCAAGGCAAAGCTCTGCTGTCTGTTTCTGAAAAATCTGAGTCGCCATATACTTTTAAAAATATATTTTCAACTCAGCTGAACTCAAAAATTGGTATTTGGTTCTGCTAGACTTCCCAGTCTCAGACAGCAGTTTTAAAGCTGGAGCTTTGAAAACTGTTTAAATATACAGAATCTCCCTTCTTTTTCCAATTACTCATTTTTAAAGGAATCAATACAGTATATATCAACAGTGGAAAATGTTGGGTTCAAATTTTACCCAGGAGAGAGTGCTAGTACTAGAAATTTTGCTTTCTGATGTGGAAGAGCAAATGGCAGGCCACTTCACCCAAATGCAGAAAATTCCACAAAAGCCTCTCTTGACACCTGGCAATTATATTAAAATCATTTCTCCAAGACACAGATCTGCCAGGTATCCCCCCCAAATATTGGCAGCAACACCCTTTGGACAGGGGTGGCAGTAGATGGAATAGCACGCTAGCCCCCAGTAGGTTCTAGAGAAAGGGGCTCCGAAATCAGAAGGTTGCTCACGCCTTTTCAAAACTGGCAGCGCCCACAACAAGTTTTCATACTATTGCATACAACTGTAAAAGATGCAAAAGTACAGAACACTTATCTAAAGGGAACACACCTCTCTCCTCTACCAAAAAGTCCTTGTCTACTGCTTGTTTCCAAGGAATAAGGAGCAGGAGTTCGGCACCAAGCTAGCCGCAATACTGATAAGGCTGATGGGGTTGTAATTGGCTGTGAACGGGCAGATGTGAACATCTTGGAATCACGAGAGCAACATTAATACAAATGAACAATTTATAAAAAATTGGAAACCAATGTTCAAGATAAAATTTAATCACTTTCCCTAGGGACTACAGTCTCATCAGAAGTATTTTTTTATTAGGCCTAGACAGGCAATCGATAGACCCCCATCATATTTGAGTTTCAAACAGGTATACATAATTCAGAATCGCAAAAATAGCCTGCAGGTCTTCGAAAAGCCAAGTCAGAAAGGGGGGGGGGGAAGCTCTGTAACTACACTGAAGGAGATAAAATGAGACTCCTATTTTACCATTTGCTGGCAAACATACAAGAGCAGCTGACACTTCCACCCTTTTGAAAAATCAGTTCACATTCAAAAATAGCACTGAAAACGGATGAACAGAGGTAGGTAAAATGTGAACGGGGGCCTTTATCCGCCACTCCATAGTTATTTCTACTGTTCACAAATGAGCTGAGTCAGGAGAGAAATTCTGCCAAAAATGCCACTCGTGGAAATTTCCAGAAGCATTGGTTTTCTAAGAAAATGGGGTGCAGAACCCACAACACTCTGAATTATTCACACACCCTCAAAACTGAAACTGAACGCACCCTTCCATCAATGTTCAGTATTAGTTTTCTAAGGTTTTGTTCATTTTCAGGACTGTTCCCTAGATGTGACAAAGCTGCCCTGCCCCCAGACTACAGAATGTCTCACATAACAAGTACAAATATAGTCCAATAATTTTAATGGTCAAATTGGGATGTATTCCTCTAGAAGGTTGGTCATCAAGCTACAAGACAAAAAAAAATCTTTTCAATTCACAATTAGCGCCATTCACGTGTCAGCTCCTTTCAGGAGATAACAGCCAAATGAGGGACAAATGTGATCGCTTCATCCCTTCCATCATAATTTTTTTTTGCCCTCCATGACCTGGAAGAGTTTCTACACCAGAGGGATTGCTTTTATAGGGATTTAGGACCCGATAAAACTGGAGTTGTACATCATACTGGAAGTCTAGGAGGGTGACTGGATCTTATAGAGAGCTTAAAGAGAGCCACATTTTTAATATACAAGCAGAAGCAAGAATTTCTCTGGGCATCACTCATCTGCCTGAATTCCCACTTTTGTGTAACCATCAAAAGCCCTGCAAAACAAGCCCTCTCTTGTTTTGCAGCTGCTTGCCTGAGAACTTACACAAGTAGAATAAATTCCCTGGTGGCAGACAGTATCCTGGCTCCCAGCTGCTGGAGGGAGGCAAAGCTAGTGTACTGATTCCTTGTTTCCATTGTGTAATGGGTTCGGGGTACTTGTGGATTATGGAAAAGTAATTTTTGAGGGCTACATTTCCAGAATACAGTGGTGCCTCACAAGACGGCGCTCCGTTTAATGACGAATCTGCATTACGACGAGGTTTTTGCGATCGCAAAACCGATTACAAAACAACGTTTTAAACGGGGGAATTTCGCTGCACAATGATAGGTTTCCTCTTTCGGGAACCGATTTTTGCTTCCCGACGATCAAAACAGCTGATCGGTGGGTTTCAAAATGGCCACCAAGTGCTCAAAATGGCTCCCCGCTGTGTTTAGGAGCCATTTTTTGCTGCACAGGCACCCGAAAATGGCCGTCCCTATGGAGGATCTTCGCTGGATGGTGAGTTCTTAGCCAATTGGAACGCATTAACCAGGTTTTAATGCATTTCAATGGCTTTTTTCGCTTTACGGCATTTTCGTTCTACAGCGATTTCGCTGGAACGAATTAACGTTGTTAAGTGAGGCACCACTGTACCAAAGTCAGGAATGGCCAGCAGTATCCTACTGTGTGTGTGTGCATGGGGGGGAAGGGGGGAACAGCTCATATGCCGCTTTTTGCCCTGCCTCCAGGTTCACAGGACATCCTCAAGATTCCTTACCCCCCTCCTGAAAATTGTCCCCCAAATGCAAATCATGTCCCCAAAGGCCTGGGAGAGTGTGCACCCCCTCCAATGTCCAGGGGAGGGCAGAAATGCTCCCCCAGGAAAATATCTTAATATCAAATGCTGCTACTCAGGATGTTACCCTGTGCAACCCATTCTTCTTTCTTTTCTCCTTCCCTAAGCAACAATCTATCTGTTACCATGTTGTAGCCCATGAGTATCCTGAGACCCTACCTGGCTATTTATTTATTTATTTGATTTTTATCCCGCCTATCTCGACCAACGGTGCAGATGATGTGACTATCCTCTTAAGAGTTACACACACAAGCACAAATGCATTTTGTTGAACTTATTCAAATTTAGGCATTCTCCCAAACCACATGACACATTCCTTCTCTGTGTGTGAATCACCTCTATGTTTACAGCTACTTAAGCAGCTACATTCACAATCGGATATATGGGGAAAGTTTGTGGCTCTGCTTAAAGCCACACAAGTCCCATCGCCCTCCCAGTCTATACAGCCCACTCCATGCAAGGATTTCAAATTTCAGTTACAGATCCTGCCTGACATAGCTATTCCACCAATCTTCATCCAACCAACTTTACATTGTCTAGGTGGACAACAAAAATATAGTGATCCACCTTGATCTCTCTTTTGACGGGAGTAACTGCATCCCCAACAGGAAGGAGAATATCTGCGCCAGCAATTGAAGCTTTCTGATTGCTGTGGCAATGCGAGCCTAAATCTGTTCCATTTACAGCAGGGGGCAAACAGATTCAGCAATGGCGATGTGTTTTACTATTCATATCCCTTGGGATGCAGGGGGCCTGTGGGAAGAGCAAGTAAAATAGGGAACTGGGCCAACACAGACCAGCCTTTCAGCCATTCTGACAGACTGAGCTTGATTAATCCCCTGATGAAAGCTCATTTCGGTGACTGACATTGAGGAGGGAAGCCAGCTTTTGTCTGAATCAGAATCAGCTCTCCTGCATCTGACAGTCAAAACACACAGATGTCACAAGTGTGGGTGTGAATCCAGTCCTTTCTTCCTTACCAACTACAACCTCTACCACACAAATAAAAATAAAATTTAAAAGCTATCCATAAGCTAAATACTTCATGCCCAGCATTTTTCCTCTCTTGCTCCTGTCTTGTCTTTGTTAACAATCATCTGTAATTCTTCATATGACATTTAATATCCTCCACCCATTCTCATTTGCTGCATGTTTTTTAAAAGATCAGCTGAACAGAAACACCAGTGGCAGAAAAGATTCCCCACCAACATCCACATCAGCACTCACCTTGACCCACATAAAGGTGAATAAGTATACCTGTGGAGGGTGCATTCACCTTATTTCATAAGACATACTGTATGCTCTATTTCTCAACCCACCCACCCACTTCAGTACTAGGCATCAAAGACTTAATAAATTCTGCAAACTCCACATAAAAAGGATTCCCAGACCATTCTCATCTAGAAACTGACTACTGGGCCACTGCAATAATTAATGGGTCTCTCAATCAATGAGTGTCTCTCTCTCAAGGAGACACTCATTAGGCCGACAGAAACCGAGTTAGGCAGCAGACAACACTGGCAACTATAGGCCTGTCGCCAATGTTTCCTTCCTTAGCAAAGTGGTATAGAGGGTGGTGGCTGACCAACTCCAGGTACTTTTGGATGAAATTAATGCCCTGGATCTGTTCCAGTTGGGTTTCAGGCTGCACCACAGCACGGAAACGGCATTGGTCACCTTGTTTGATGACCTGTTGAGGGAGGCTGACAGGGGCATAATGTCTTTGTTGATCCTCCTTGATATCTCAGCCGCCTTTGATACCGTCAACCACAGTATCCTCCTGGGGAGGCTCTCCAAATTGGGAATCGGTGGTCTGGCACTTGCCTGGCTCTGATCCTTCTTGGAGGACCGTTCTCAGAGAGTACAGCTTGGAGAGAGTGTATCGGCCCAGTGGAGTCTCAATTGTGGGGTTCCGCAGGGCTTGATTATCTCCCCAATGCTGTTTAATATCTAAATGAGGCTGCTGGGAGGGGTCATCAGGGATTGTGGGGCTTCAGTATCCAGCTCTACATCTACTTTTTTCCAACAACAATGGATGCCATTCTGTCCCTTCAGTGCTGCCTGGAGGCTGTACTACAATGGATGCAGGAGAATAGACGGAGGCTGAACCCAGACAAGATGGAGGACCTGAGGGTGAGTGGCCCCACCATCAGTAGTTTGGGAAACTCTCTCTCTTTTGGGGGAGTGACTTTCAATGCAAAGGGTGAGGTTCGCAGCTTGGGGGTCCATCTGGATCTGGCTCTCACCATGGAAACCCAGGTAGCATCAGTGGTCTGCTCCGCCTATTTCCATCTGTGGC